TTAATTGAACCTAGCGAGTGTCGATATGGTAAACAAATATAGTGAATTTTAAAGTGTGCATTTATTCTATTGTGGTTTATGCGCTATCAACGAAGTATATTTAATTCAATACAATAAATTAAATGAAATGTAAGAAAAAATGCGTATAATTTAATATTCCGTGCAAGGAAGTCATGTGGTGTACACATCAGATTTTTAATTTTACTGTACGAAAATGAAGAGGAGAAAATCATACGAATAATTTAACTTCCGAAGGTTATTGTTTCAGTAAAAATATAACAAATGGAAAATATTCATGGATAAACAACTGCTAAATGTCTAAATATTATGTACTTAAAAGAAATCTATGTTCCAATAAGATTACCTAGCATTAAGCCTGAATTTTGTCCCCATCATCGCCTTGTCATTGCCTTCGACATCGTTTAGTCTGTCTTCTTACATGAATGAAATTCAGAACCATCAAAGATCGTTAGATATTCTTATTTTCTTGAAGCTCTACAAAATTATTGCTTCATTAGTTATAGCCCAGGCACTCGAAATATACGGGCAGATCAATTAGCTAGATGAAAACAATAACTATTTAGTCAAATCCATTCTAAAATTTAAGAGAGTTCTCTTTCTAAACGCTGTGAAGAGAAGAAGAATTACATTCACACATAAAACATTCTCAGAAACGTATGCTAAAAAGTTAAGAGGATATAAACGCGAGTAAATACAGTATTTGAGAATCCCCTAATTTTATCTTTTCTTTAAAAAATTCAAGTAAAAGGAAGCCTTTTCTTTCAAAGCAATGTATCTTCCTATTCACCTGGTCCTCGGATATGTTAATATAACGGAAGTATTTCTTTCTTACCGTGTAGGACACTAGAAAGCGAAGGGATCCTTTATTACCAGGCTTTTTGTTTACCTAGTTTTCCAAACGTCTGTTACAACAAAAATAATTTTCATTCACAGAATTCAAACAGACAGAAGTGTTATTTAACTTTCCTTTAAATCAAGTTGCTTCATAACAATTTTTAAAATGAATTCTGTTCTGTCTTTTCCTCGAATATGCAACTTTTGAAATACATATTGTTACGTTATTTTCTTCTTCACGTTTGTACGAGGTTCCTGTGGATTTGGAGTGAATAATGACGACACTTGATGCAGTATCGAAACACACTTCATTTACCAATATTGTCAGGACAGCTCCAAAACACGTTTTACAGTCGTCGATGAACTACTATAAACACGCTGACACGATCAGCGACACAGCCTTCCGGTTATCAGGCTATCACGGTGGAAACAGCTTCACTGCAAAATACCAGAGTACAGCACCCGATTCTGCTCGGTCGTTCTCGGAACTCCACGTACTCTCGGACTCTCCACGCTACAAAGGACTCTCCACGAGACGACACACAGGGCACGGCTCCCGATTCTTCGGTTCAGTCGTTCGCGGAGCTCAACACGCTCTCTCGACGATGCACTGACCGCGATACACTAAGAGACTCCTTCGGTGAACTCGACGACCCACTCGGCACTCACTGCTAGGCTATCAACTCGGGGGATCGACTCCTCAGGGATTGACTCGGTAGACGAGACACACTCTCGATGAGAGACACACACTCACTAACTGACTGCGGACCAGCAGGGTTTATATAGCTTTCGGCTTGTGTTCGAGAGCATTCTGGGCTAAGCCGGTAAGAATTCGTTCCAGAAAGTTCTACATCCGTCCATGGCATATCGCCAATTTTTGCGCCAAATGTCGCCAAATGGGCCATTTCTCGCGAAATGTGGCAACTCTGCCTTCCCTTGTCCTTTTATGGCAACCCTAAAGCTGCTTTGCGCGGAAACTATCTCACCGCGCCTGGACATTTCGTAACACTATGTTTTTCATCAAAGGTTTTTAAAAATTAATTATTTGACAACTTTGAGTGAATTGAAAATGTTAACTCCATTAAAATTCAATCTTCAAGTGACTACTGTGCATTGAATATGCTTCTTGTTTATTATTAAATGATAAGGATTTTTAATTTAACGTAAATTTCTTGAAATGCAATTAAATAATATAATATTGGTTACTTATTAAATACATATGAGTACAAATTGAAAAAAAAAACTGCGCTTTTAAGCTTGCGATAAAATAAAAATTTATAACTATTTTTAGTGTGTTGAAATTTATTGCCACAAAGTGAGGAAATTATTCAAGCTCTTTTCTTATATATTAGATCTTAATATCCTCTATCCTATATTTACTACCAATCTAATATCCTATATATATTAATATATATTAGATTTAAACATTGTTCTAACATAGGTATTTTGACACAACCTCGGACGTTTTCTAAAATGGCATGCCAGTTTGTTTCCATATTTCGATTCTACAACTTAAATTACACCCAAATAATATTTTTTTTTTAAATTTAGCCAGAAACTTACCGAGAAATTTAAAAATTTATCTCGGAGCACATTTTCCATCTGCTCCAATAATGGAGAAAATCTTAAGTCACAGCAAACTATTTTCCTTTGCTCTTTTTTCATTGTGCACGAGCGAAAAAGAAGGTGCATCGTTCATTCTTTCAAATAATTTTAACAAAGTGCATGAAGTACATTTGGCGTTATTATCGCTTATAGCAAATATATCAAATTTCAGAACCCACCATTACATAAATTTACATACATCTTGGAAAATTTTAAATAGAAAACATTTAATTTCTTGTAGGTATGCCTAGAAATACATCTATATTAAGGTAATGGTAAAAATTTAATAGGCTATAATTTAACAATTTTTTCGAAAAATTTATAAAAATTACTAAAAAATACAAATTTAGAAAACAAAATCAGAAAATAGCTGCGAATTTGATTTGTATTGACCCTAAATTTCGAATTATGAAAAAAGAAATTAATTAAGTTTAATAAAAGAGAGATATTAATAAATATATACCAAATTCAATTAACATTGAAAAGATAAAATTTTGAGAGCTAACTTTTTAAAAACTCCTCGTGCGATATTTCGAAACCTTGGCAATGTGGCATAACTTGAGTCGTATAAATAAAATATGGAAAAAAATAGGTATGTCTTTACAGTCTGATTTTGTATCAGAATACGTATGTTAAAACAAAACTATATATAAATCTAACATATAGCCTAAGTCGCACTTTTGAGACATAAAAAATGCAAGTTAAATTTCATCAAAGGGCCCAGCAGAACCCGGAAGCTATAGAACAATTCTCTTTTTTATGTACGAAGCGTAGTTAATGCTACCAGGATATTTACCACCCTGGCTCCTTATCGAGAATAGCAATTTAAGGAATACGAGGAATATTGTTTTATAATGTTAAAATCAGTACTTCATCAAGTACTTCGTACTATCAGTACTTCATTTCATCAAGCATACTTGCAGCTGCGCAAACAGACAGTTCTCAGAACTTTGCCATTTCACTTTGCATAAGATCATTAATTTATTTTTTAAATTTAATCCCATGATACGGTTTCTAATAAATTTAATTGAATAATTAATTTACAAAATATCTAACTAACAGATTTTCATGAATTTTATAACACTAGTGTATTTAATAGAAGATGTTTCTAAACATGCGTACTTGTATTAAGTGCTTTGCTACAGAATAATAGTTTTCCGTACTAGCTTTGCTACAGAATAATAGTTTTACTTACTAGCTTTGCTACAGAATAATAGTTTTCCTTACTAGCTTTGCTACAGAATAATAGTTTTCCTTAGCCTTTACAAAATGTTTTATATATATTTTTACAGAACTATAAAACGACATGTTTAAAATGTTATTTTTATTACACCATAAGCTTTTATACAATATTTCTACCATGGGAGGGGAAATACAGTGGAATATTTAATATCCAGATTTCTATGTATCTAAAATTTCAATTGTTCAAATTATCTGATTATAAAAACAAATGAAATTATACATTCAGTCTTAAGTGAAACGCCTTGTATCCTTGTTTTTAGTCGAAATAAAAATGGCTTTTGAGTTGAGTCAAACTATATAGTTCAATTGCTTTATATTTTCCAAAATATTATGTTTAATATTTTATTTTGGTTTAATACAGGTATTTTAACATTATAATATTTTTCTAAATAAAGTAATTGAGAGTAAACCAAATATCCACAGAAGGATGTATTTGAGTAACTGAGTATTCGGTTCGCTAATAAAAGGAAATTTAATTAATTATTGAGATTTTCTAATGTATCGATAGACGGTCACATTTAGTTAAAAACTTTGAAGTTCTATTCCATACGTTTCGTGCTGGACGAAAATAAATTGCTTTAAATTTCAATTCAAGGAGAATTATGTTGGCTAAGTTTCTACAAATTCCTCTGATCTCAACGTGAGTCATGTGGATGGTATTCTTTCAATGCTATCATGTGAAAAAGGAATAATTTCATTCTAGATACGTTTCATCATCCCATGCGGATCGAAATATTCTTCATTATTAATGGGAGCAGTATTTTCTACTTCAATTCATAAAATAGATTGAGTAACATACCAACAGAGAATCTTAGGTTTTTTCAGGAGCAGTTCGACGAAAGCGTGGCCAACTCGTATTTTTGATTTTCGAAATTTATCTCAGCTCCATAATTTCCTTATAGTATGGTATAAATCGTTTTTATTCGATTTAAAACCATTCGTAATAACACCAAAACGCATGCATATTATACTATTCATAATTCCCCAAAGCACCGTCCGTATTCGTAATATCAAGCTCCAATAAATCAGCTATAAATTCACCAAACCAACTTATATAATTCTGTCTGTAAAATTAATATGCAAAGCAATTATTTATCCATGCATTCAAAATTTGTTAATTGAGATGAAATACAGAGTCCATAAATATTTCCTCATTTGATGAAGTATTATGAAACAAAGTATAAATAAAAATGGAAATAATTTACTTTGTAAAAGAAAAATGCCAAGAGTAGGATTCTCTAAATTATATAAACATGTTCACTCCTCTTTCAGTATAAATACTCCCCCAAAGTCTTGTATTACAAACAATCGTCGATGTGTTCTGCTTCTTGGTAGCTTATTTCTATACTTTCTTACAATGTGGAATTTGACTTTTTGCATTCTGCTGTTTTCTCTTGCTTTGTTGTGTTCAACGTCGGAAAACGAAGATTATTGTTCGCAATATTGTGGAAATCGCACTATATACACCATTATTAAACTCTCCAAGAGAACTTCAAGAATTCCATGTCATTGCCGTCACGAGATTTTTGCCAGTCGCAAGTAAGTCTTTAGTGAATTACAAAGTAGTAGGCTAACCATTTTACTTGATACTTACTATCTTTGCTGTTTATAATATCTAATTACATATTTCTGTGGATATTTATAAGCAAGAATAGACTCAAAATTCATGCGAGGAAATTCCGAGTTTCTGTTTCGTTAAATCTTTGAAACTATTTCCATGTTCCCAGTTTATTTCTGACTTGTTTTTATAATTGCTTTCTATTAATTTCCAGTTTGATGGTAATTATATAAATTTGATCATAAGTTAAAAATAATAGTCAGTTTTATTGCTCTAGATCAAAAGTCTTCCAAATGTTGTCCATGAAGCACTGATGTTGAATGCAACTTCTCTAGGGTTATGCTATTCAAAATCTAAATTAGATAGAAATTTTAATTTACTAGCGGACTGACAAACTAAATGCTAAATTAAATAATTAAACAATCCTTTGAATTATATTGCCATTATTATCTAAAATAGTACCCAGAAGGTTTGTTTCTATAAATACAATAATAGCGAATAATGGTTTTCCTTTCATTCTGCATGTAAATAGCATGCAGTTTTAATATAACTGGTTGAACAAATGTTTTCCGCCAAAAAACGTTCTTAATAAAGCTAGAAAAGAAAACATGAAAGCAGTACCTTTAGTGGGTGTAGTAATCACCACCCAAATCTGTAATTTTCTGCGAACCGCTTGCTAGTTTTTCAAAGCCTTCGGCCAGAAACTTGGTGTCCGCGAGTTCAAAAACAAATCAACCTTATTTCGGACCTCCTGTGCAGAATGCAAGATAAAACCAGGAAGAGATAGTTGCATGTGTGAAAAAAAGGTAGCAGTCTCTGAAGGAGCAATGTTTGGGTTTTATGATGCGTGTGGCAAAAATTTCATTCGAGTCCGTAAAGAATCCAGCCGATGAATGCAGACACATGTGGTCTTGCATTACCTTTTTGGGCCAGATTTCGTTTTAACGTTTTTCCTTGTTAGCAGCATCAACACAGATTAGCATCTCGCTGTACACCTTACTGTCGAGGGTTTTACTTTTTTCAAGGTACTCTTTGCGGATAATACCACGGCAATCCCACCAGATACAAAGCATGATATTTTGGTTAGTCAAATTGCACTTTGAGACTCTGCTGACGGACTCACCGGGCACAGAACAGACACACTCTTTTTCGGCCTGTGTTTTTGAAGTAAATCCACTTTTCATCACACGTGACAATTTGGTCCATAATGTTGTCCTTGAATGTATATTCGAGTAAATTAGTGCAGTCCGGAGAACACGCCCATCCTTATCCGTTTGAGTCAGCTCATACGGCACCCAGCAATTGAACTTGTACGTCAAGTTTATGGGATGCATAGCGGGATTAATGAACATGGCACTAACGTCTAACTCTCGAGTGGTTGCATATTGATTTTCTTCTTCAAGTTCTGGCAGGCGAGCCTCATTAATACCAGTAAGCCGGCCAGAGTGCTCTGCTTCTTGAATTTTATAGTTTTTTTTAACTTTCGGTACCAAAGCATCACAGTGTCATAGGGTTACAATATTAGTACCTAAAGCTTATAAGGTATTTCTCTCTCTTTCCTAGCGTCCTTCGTGGTGTAGTGGTTCTGTACGCTGGGCCGTTATTCCAGAAGTCCGTAGTTCGATTCCCGGCGAAGGCGGTTGCTAATTTTCATCTTTCTTGCTACCAAAAATATATACCTAATGTCTCTACAAGCTATTATGTAAATACTCTGTGTACTTTAATGGTATTCATGATTACATCCTAGAGCATTGATTATATTTAAATTATTTAACGACAAGTCCTGTATGCATTATTATGTGTAAATTTGTTCAACTGTATGATACTTAAATTCGCACAACTGTTACGCATGAAATTAGTAGGTTACTTCTATGTAAATATTATATGTACAGTAATGGTATTCACAAATACAACCCACAACACTGATATGTCCATAGTATTATTATTTAATGACAAGCACTGTATGCATTTATGTGTAAATTTGTTCAACGTACCACACTTAATTTAGGTTTGTGACACTGGGATACATACCATGCCTGTTATGTATGAATTTAGCAGGTAATCACGACAGCAACTCAGGACTTAATTCGGTAATGCACACATTTCAATGTAACCGTATCATATGTATCCTTATGTATATATCAAACTCAAGTATTTTAATGTAAGTTTTGATATGTATTACTACGCTAGAACAGCGATAAGCCCTTGTATGGCCATGTATTGTTTGATTAGAATCAATGAATACTGGGCCTGGGCAACTGGCTGAGAGTGCACCCTTGACGGCGGATTGATCAGCAGCACTGGAAACGAGACGGTCTAAGCGCTCTGTGCGAGACCCCCAGTGGCTCCAAATGGTCAACTCTAGATAAGGGCGGATGTGGTGCTATTACCGGTTAACCTTAACGGTGGAGGGATGGTGCCCACGTCCTCCGTTACTGCTACTACTACTACTACTACCTAAAGCTGTACACATGGATTTCGTGACATTATTTACCTGACGTTTTTCAACAGAACTGAAAGTAAATGATGACTATAATCTGGTAGCGTGATAGTTCCATTTCAGACACATTTTACTTAAATGATAACGATATGTTTTTACAAATTTCACAATACAGTGTTCTAAAGCAAGTCTCTTTCTTTCATATGACAAAATTCGTTTGACACAATACAATATGAGTAAACACAGCAAAGCTAACTGTTTGCGCAGACGATATTTTCGGTGGCAGTAGACTTTCGTTAAACCAGATATTTTCGACATTTTCTTTAACATTTTCACTTATAAGAATCAAAGACACAAAAAAAATCTAGTTTTATTGTTTCAACCAGTCGACAAAAGAGAAATCAGAAATCCTAAAACCATCAATTTGAAAAATTAACACATAAGCAGATTAGGCCACAGTAGGAAGATTTTGGCTTCAATCCGATTCGAAAATTTTATTTCTTTATTACTTCTTCTTACAATGTATTATTATCATACAGGCTTATCATCACTGATGATGCAAATAAGATTCAATCTTAGGTTTTGCTTAATTTGCTTATGAAGCATCAATTGTCCAATTAGCAAATGAATGTCTATTGCTGAACTGTAATATAGATTTTGAAGCTATATTTTAAGAAGACGCTAGCTACACTATAAGAAGACGCTTGACAAGATTGCAAGGATTTTTCCTCAACAATATCAAGACTTAATTAAACTCGTTTCCTGAAGCAATACCCATTTCAATTTTATACATCATCAACCAATTTGTTACGAAATTTTAATGAAACGAACCAGATTACAAAATTCACATATGAAATATTCTTTTCCTTGAAATCGCTTGTTATTTCAGAATATTTTATTTTTTATTAAGGAATTATTATTTTATTCCTTAGCTTGAAAACGCTTATACAAAGTTAATTTTTCTAACTTTTAAAGACAGAAAAATAAATAGATAATTATACTGTCTATCTATATGCATTTTTACTCGTCATTACATTAAGTTAATGGTTTCCAAGTCATGAAGATTGCTCAAACAATATATTCAGTTCTCAGAATTCGAGTTAAAATATTTTATTTACGAAACGTTTAAAAATTTTAAATTTTATTTCTGTTTTATTTGCTTGTTTAACATTTCGATTTCCACTTATTCGCAATTATTTTATGTAATTTCACAATCCTATGAAATCCTGCAGAATTCAGATTTTGAGGCGCTTATTTCGGTTACTGAAAGCTTCCGTTTATTTAAACGGTAGAAAATTTAGGTATAACTATTAATTTAGGCCCTTTCATAACAATGAGAAAAAGAATCTGGATATAATTATCATGTAAAAGGAGTTAAGTTATTTGTTCATCTTTATTGTCAAATTTTGAAATTAAAAATGCAAATAACATTCTTAATTACTCTACTATCAACAAATAAATACTGCATAGCAGAAATATGAATCAGTTCTATATTAAATAAAATTTGCTTTTGTAGCGACTGTTTTCTTTTGAATAAAGCTAAAAGTGATAGACTAGCAGAAAGGCACATTATCGAATTCTGTTTTAAATTGTAATGAAAGTGAACGATCTCGTCACCTCGTTACCATAATAATTAAGCTCGAAAATAAAAGACTTTTCTTCATATAGATTTTTTTATTTTACATATATAGTTCTGTGAAAACAATCCTGTCCTTTCAATATATTTCGGGTCTGACAAGCTTCTGAAACACTCACTAAATGCAAAAATAAGAAATTGTTTTTAATGAATTAGTATAACTCTAAAATGAAGTTTTCCTGCAATACTTATTTTATTATATTTAGCTTTATTTATTTTTAGCATAAAAGGCGTTAGCACAGAAGGGGTATTAATTTCGTTTCGGCATTTTGCGTCAAAAACTTTAAAAGCCTGAATCACTTTTCAAATTGTTACCATCAGATATTATCACCCTATTTAAAGAAATTAAATACTGGAGAATCTGCATAAATGCAGGTATGTCTCTTGCACTGTGATAAAACAACGGTACTTATACAGGCATCAATTTGAATAACGCAGTCTTCCACTCGAATATGGTCATCTGGAAGATCATATTTGGAATTTGTTTTATTATATATTTCATATTTTATAAACCTCTAACGAATTTTTGATTAAAAAACTCAACGATTTCGAAGAGAGCAATGGCAACACTGTTCGAAAAAAAAGACATTTTCATCTCCAGCGCGAGAGACTGAGTATCTAAAATTCTAAAGATATACTTCTGTTAAATATTTGCATAGTCGCCTGTAGTAACGGCAACCGCCGGCAATAAAAGGAGGTGCTTTCCTTAGTGGCACCGCAGTTCCTTTTAGTTCGAGCCAGAATAGACCTGCCCGGGGAGAAGCCAGGGGATGAGAGATTCCGGTTTCCGCCCTGTTCCGGTTCCCGTCTTGTTGCGGATCCAGTCCAGTTCCGGTCCTGATCCAGTCCTATTCCAGTTCCAGCCTGGCTGTTTAAGTCTAAAACACGTAGGAGCGGATGTCTGA